GACGCCTAATTTAATTATAAATTTCAATTCAGAAATATTCGTCTAGTGTTAATTCTAGTAGGCTACGGAGTTTTGATTTTAAACGTTTGTTTAGCCAACAGCTACCTGGGGATTTAGTTATTTTACTAGTGCAGTTGATAGTACCTAAATTTTTAATCTTATTATCTAAACTATGTTCGCATTTTAGGCTGCTAATATGATAAACTAATCCATAAACCCAAATACGATTAGCAACAACGACTATGATGGGTTTATTGATAAATGTTAAAGGCGATCCAGATGATTTCTAAATTTAGAAGACATGGAGATATAGTGTAACGTATGTATCGGCCAGGTTAACATGCAGGTTGTTGACGTATATGACGATTTAAAAATAATGAACATGACCAGAAAATAATTTTAAAGTTTAGACTGCTTGTGAAACTTCAGGCAGGAATATGATGCGTTATAAACATTCCATAAGAAGTTACTACATTTAGCCTAGGGACACTTACAAATATATAGCAAAAGGAACCGGAAAACATATACATGTTAAGTAAAAAAAATCATTAAGTAAAATAGTTGAACTCGCCTGGGTTATTTTTGAAAATTAGATTATTCAGTGGACATATATAAAGCCATTCTTGAGGAGTAGTAATGATCCATGCAGTATGGCAATTAATTCCATGGTGCTTGATGCTGTTGACGTTTTTGCCACTCACTCGGATCAGAACAAACGAATGAATCCAGATAACTGTGTGTGCCATTGAATGAGCCATCTAAAATGAACTTATGATTGCAGAAAACTTATAGCTGGAACTCACCGTATTTTTTATTTTGGAGAAGTGTCATCCTTGTTGTTTGGCAATGGAACTCGAGAATATGAAATTAGGCAGGCAGTGGTCGGAAGAAAAGATATTACAGGATAGTGCATAGTTTAAAACAGGATGAGGTGATAAGATAACGAACGCTGAATATTAGATCCAGGTAACTATTTAGTTCTTGCTGCATTGTTAGTCAATGTATATTTGCGTTATTTACAGGTCATATTTGCTAGAGCTTGATGCTTAAACAAGTCTATGTCGCTGAAGCATGTAAATGCTATTAAAGCTTGTTAACGAACCATCAAAGCTAATTAGTTAATATAGACGACCCGTTTTTATTATTGATTGAGCTAGTATGTCATGAGAACTAATCAATATAACATTACGATAATACATGTGAGTATTAATCAGGACTGTTAGAATATTGGGTTAACATAAATACAAAATAGATCAAGAAATTTAGAATGGAAATAAGATTAACAATAATAGGTTGCGTTTCTCTAGTCGGGCTTACCAATGTAGAATTATGGTCTACTATGATATTAGTACTGCTCTAATAATAGACTTAATCCTAAACTTGTCGATTTGTCATGATATAACTGCCTAATCTATAAGATCTTACATGGAAGTCACACCATCGACTACACCAACTCACTGTATCGTATCAATTACCAATACATGATGTAGAACAAGGTTAGGCTAGAGAAAGAACAATATATTTAATATGAATAGAAGATATAAGGTAACATTCAGCAGAGACCACGCCTGCATGGCCGAGCCATGCCACTCGATCAACTCCAGTCCATTCAATTCATTCTTCGCGCCTTCTCCATCGTTAGGTATTTATCCGCGTTAAATATTGAATATCTATTTTCTGAGTAGTCTCGTGTTCAGCTTTGTGGATTGTGCGGTTATTGTTCAATGCCACTACAGGACTATCCCGCTCTACTCGTCTCGGTTTCACACACATCCTGATTCTAGAAGACTTTAATCTCCCTAGAGTCAACTTCGCGGAACCCACGTACACTGGAGGTGACAATTCAATTGAAGCTCGGTTCTTCAACCTCATCGATGACTTGGGCTTGTATGAAAATGTGAGGTCGGCAACTCGTTGGAGAAACAGTCAGACACCATCGCGTTTAGACTGTGTATTCACAAACGAAGAATTCCTAGTTGACAACCTCTCAATCCTGGCTCCTCTGGGAAAGAACGATCATGCCGTCATAGCCTTCAGTTTTGTCATCAAAACTAAGCTAAGGCATCCCACCAATAATTTGCGTTGGAATTTTAAACTGCTGAATGTGCCAGCTCTACATGACTATCTGCAACAGGTGGTTTGGGATATTCACCCTCAACTCGATGTGGACGGTCATTGGGACTTCTTACTGGACACGCTCTTATGTGCTACAAACCATTCAGTTCCTCAAACGGTTCCCAAAAGCTGCAAGCCACCTACAGTAATCAAGAACCGTACCTTTCGCCTGCTAAGCCGCAAAAGGCACTGTTGGGCGGAATACAAACGAACTGACAACGACGGAGCGTACAGGCAATATAGACATATAACGAACATATGCACGAAGGCTATAAGAGAAGATAGGCTTCAATACAATACAAAGCTTTTGGACAAATTTGCATCTAATCCTAAAAGCTTATTCCGTTATACAGCCTCTCTTCGTCAAGCCAAAACTGGAGTTTCCCAACTGGTAGGTCTTAACGGCCCAACAACGATGGCGACGCCGCTAACCTTTTAGTTGAGCATTACTCCCAGACATTTCAACCGACCGACATCAACTTTACTGATGACAGTTTCATCTGCAATTCCACAAGACATCCGAAGTGAACCTAAGCGCTGACTTGGTGTTCCGTAGATTGCAGCACTTAAGATTAGACACTTCTCCTGGCCCGAATATGGTTCATCCTGCCATACTGAGGGAGGCAGCCTCAATCCTGGCAACACCGCTTAGCGTGATGTTTTCACACTCGCTAAGTCAAGGCAAATTACCGGAAAATTGGAGGCTGGCTCACATCACACTAATTTTCAAAGGAGGTCAACGCAGCGAACCTTCAAGTTACCGACCGGTGGCTCTTCTCTTAATACCTTCAAAAATAATGGAGTCCCTGATATGCGATGGTATAAATGACTAATTGCTGTCCTTAAATTTCTTCTCACCCCAACAGCATGGTTTCAAGAAGGGTTACTCTTGTATTACCAACCTGCTGACTGCGGTGGACAGATGGATAAGCATCCTTGATCACAAGGGGGAAGTTGATATCATCTACCTAGATTTCTCAAAAGTTTTTGATAAGGTTAACCATACATGTCTTATCAATAAGCTCAAACGATTGCGTATCAGACCACCTCTAATCGATTGACTCACTTCATACCTGAAAAATCGACATTTTAAGGTCAGGGTTATTTTCACTTTATCTCGGGCTATGGAATGTCCTAGTGGGGTCTCCCAGGGCTCAGTACTAGGACCTTTTCTCTTCCTGATTTACATAAATGATCTTCCTCAACAGGTAACGTCAGACGTATTACTTTTTGCCGACGACGTGAAACTTTGGGCAGATAATAACGGACTTACCTTTAACACTTCAAAGTGTAAAGTAGTTCATCTGCGACATGTCGCAGACTACAGTTATAACTTAGGTACCTCCTCTCTAGTAGTATCCCAAGTGGAAAAAGATTTTAAATCAGACTGATCTGAATCAGCATACTCATTAGAAACAGGCAACTCTACTTACTAAACTGATCTGTTTCGTTACAGGCTTCAAGCACTATACTTAAGTATATCATAATTCTTTCAACTAATCAGTTTAAACTGAATTATACGACAACCAAGAATACTAAACCAAGCAAGTGTCATAGTCATTGTTCCATTTGCACAGACACGTTGCTCAAAGTAGTTAAATGGACATAATTAAGCCGATAAAACCAAAACACGAAATACAGGCCAGTTGAACTTACCTAACAGAAGATAAAGGATGTATATATTGCTTCCCGACTGAAGACAACAGTCAGTTAGTCATAGAAACATAGTTTACAGTAAAACAAACCTTTCTTCAGTGACATTATGCACTGAAGGTCTATCTGGAAACAATCAACCATGTGATTAAACTCACTATGACTTGGGATAACATCTCAGAGTGCAGTGAACGTACAGTGTAACGCAGTCGGACTAAAAACAGAGCAAAATTAACAACATAATCTAGTTATTTAATTAAAATACATTATGAAATGACAAAATCTGTGGTTGCTTGAACGCACAGATGACCCTGTGCGATACATTAAGTTTACATGGTTGCGTTGCGGATAGATTCACCCTTTTTGGTCAGTTTGACTGGAGAACGTTCCACATAATCTTCAACAGTTTCATTCGTCCCCATTTAGAGTATGGAAAAATAGTATTTCCTCTCTCACTCCAAAAGGATAAGGACACTCTGGAGCGTATCCAACGGTGAGGCACAAAATCAGTTCGGGGACTCAAATTCAAGCCTTATGAAGAGCGCCTCCATTCACCAAACTTTTACCCATTATAGTAAAGGCGTCTTATAGGTGACCTTCTAATGGATTACAGTAACCTTAACACTTCTGGATATCCTGTCAAACACCTACTTAGGCTTAGTTCCAACACTAATCTAAGAGGTAACACCCAAAAACTGGAGACACAACATAGCAGAACGGACTGTAGACGCAACTTCTACTCCTTAAGAGTTGTCGAATGCTGGAATTCGCTGACGGCCGAGCTAGTCCAAGCGACCTCCAAGGAGTCTTTTAAGAGGTAGCTTGATCTATTATTATTAAAGACTAAGGATAGTATCACACAATAATTTACTGATTTCTTTTCCTCTTTTATTGTTAACATACCTAGGTTCCTGCCTGGAGGATTTGGGGATCCCCTGCTACTAGACACGGAAGCCTGTTAAGTGAAAGCTTCTTCTATTCCGTTCATAACCATTTGAACTATTTGTATTATCACCTTTGCGTGTACTTCCACAGACATACAGCTGTAAGTCTTTGAATGAATCATTCCATAATAGACTGAACATAAAAAATATGAGCGGATCAGCAACATTGATCTTTAAAACACTGCCTTCATACGAAGTGCACGAATGGTAAATTTAGAATTTATATCTCTGACCTTGAGGTTGCCTACTAAGTGTGGTTATTCTAAAGCGTAGCGTCACTAGAATAAAATGACCGTCGGTGAGATAAAAGGGAAATCTAAAGTTGAGGATAGGTCTGAAAAGAAAAACCAACAGCCAGTCGAAAAGATAGACATTACACTTTTGGAGGAAGATGACGACTTCGAAGAGTTTCCAGCTCATGGTAAGTACATGTAAATAATCATTTTCAAAATCACTGTAGCTTGCGTAGAAGGCCATCCTAACGAGGAAGCTACTGTTTGGGAAGACAACTGGGATGATGATATTGTGGATGACGAGTTTACTCACCATTTAAGGTATTCATGATAAAAATGTCACTTTTTGTTAGAGCTGAGTTCCAAAAACAGGGAAAGGCCTTCGTTGTACCTGAAATCTCTGCGAATTTGGATTAAAAACTTCAGAAAATATGATATAATTAAATAAAGTTCTCTAAATTGCCTACGTTGTTTTGGTTTGCTCGTTTGCTTTCGATTTGGATGAGTTTTTAGTAAATTATATATTGCTGCAACTTAATTTGTTATTCAGTTTCTAAACAATGTTTAAGATTGCTTTAAGCGAAGAACTTTAATCCAGAATTCTTTTTTATCTATCTATTTTGTGGATTACCTGATATTTTGAAGTCCATAATGTATCAAAGGATTTGTTAGTAAGGAAATTACACCTCGTTAATCAGCATAGTTTCGACCGTTCACGAAGTAAAAGATAAGTTGCTTAGATGGGGAAGCTAAGAATATCTCAGATGCTAATTTTAAATATGTCTGAAGATTTAGTTATTAGACATCAATCATGACAAAATTCTTGGATAGTTATGTGTTCATATGAAATGATTTTCGGAATTATGGAAAGTGATTCAACGGTGCTGTTTAGACGTGTCACTCATGCTGTAACAGACCTCTGTTAACTATGGTAATGAGTATAAATTATAACATTTGAATTTTTTGTTAGTAGTTTGTCAGGTTCTTTCGATCTTTACTTCATCGCATTAATTTGTCGTGGTAACGTGAAAGTTTACTCTTTATCACATTTGTCCGTATAATTGAGTTAGGGTTTTCATTCGAATGGTAGCAACATTTAATCGGAATTTTCTCCAGGATTCTCATCGTATAGACGTCAATTCGATATTGAACCCATTAACGTATCGGTTATTAGATGTTTCACGTCCTAAACTTTCAGCTACGAAGCAAGTAGTATAAGGATGGGACCATTGGTCTTATTAGTAAAAGACTTGTTCATTGATCAAGTTCTATGCGCTCATCGAAGCCTATTGATTGAAAAAATGCAATAAAGTTGTTGTTGTAACCTATATAATTTTGTGCTATTAACTGTAAGCACCGTAAGCGAAGAACAAAGCTCAAATTACTTGCAGAGTCACTATCATATCGATTGTAGTACATCCTTAATAAACTAACCTTTTTATGCACTTCCCATTTGAGTCATTAGTGGTTCTACTATCGTCGAGACTGCATTTATCCATTAACAACGCAAGGGATTTTGCAGTTCGCTCGTGGTAACGTTGCAGTGCGTTAAGAGTTTCCTTCAGTCACCCTATTTCTTCAGACGTCTTTTTAAGTCATATTCTCAATGTTTGGTCCTTCTCACTATCATTATTCGTACAAATACTTCAACTCTTTGTTATGTATCTTACTAACTCGTCATTGAAACGTGGGCTAGTGTATATTTGTGTTAGGTTCTGCGTCAATCATGACTGACTAGTGATTTCAGCCTATTCATAGATCGATTTTGAGTGTCGACTTTATATCTAGCTGGGTATTTCGTAACTACATGTAACGAGATGTAATTTAATCGTTTATGTGCTTATTACGAGCCTGTTTCCCAGAAGTAATTAGTTTCATATAGTGATGTTCGCTTATGTTCTTTCATTACCCTAGATAAGCAGCCTTTAAAATGTGGTACTTGAAACCAACTTGCTGTTTATGTTTGATGGAACCACCGACTGCGTTATGTTTATGTCATACGTGGATTTTAAGTAGAAATGGGAACTCAATCTCCAAGTCTGTAAGCCTGCACGTTATGAACACCAAACCACCATTTACTTCGATCCTCTTTGTTATCTAGCATACGATTTGGTGGAAGAAAGGTAATGAATCCCACTTTAAGATGTGATATCAGTTCGTAGCCCCGCCAACTGTTGGTCTTAGATGTATGGGGAGATGTAAACTTCTTCACTGGGGATTTCATAATAGCTCGTTTGTGTTAAGTGATGTTAGGTGAAAATCCCCTAGGTTGGTTGCAATTGGACCCATTCTTTGTATCTCTGTAAATCTTAACACCGTTTCATAATTTTTAATTTTTCAGTCTCATTTATTTTGAACTATATTCTTCATTTTTAATGCTTATCATTGCAGCTGATACTATTATTTTCATATGGTCAGCTTTTTCGGTGCTAATATGAGGCATGATTTCTAGTGGTACATATTCGTGACAAATCTTGTCTATGAATAGGTGACCATTTGGTGTCAACAGTTAAACCTTTTCTTTGGTAGACTAAGAAATTTTGGGTAGAACAAAAATACATTTGCTAGTTTAGTGGTTTTCAAATGTGATATTGTTACCTTCTGTAGTTATTTTTAAATAAGCTGGTTGTAAGGCCATATATACGTAGTCATTGTTAGACGTTTGTATTGGTTTTCAAGCAAAACATTAAGTTAACCATTTTTAAGTGTTATACTTAGATTTAGTGGTTGTACACATTTTTAATCCCGAGGACTTAATATGTGAGCACTTGTTCTTGAAATAATCATTTCAGCATTTGGTGGTTACGTTGTTTCCTAAGATATCCGTCTGTAAACTTGTTTTTCTTCTGAGTTTACTAACGGCTTGTCTTTTTTAGTTTTCAGATATGCAACCCATAAACAATATTGTTAGTGAACACATATCTACCGGTTCCTCATGTTATAAACTTGATCCTTTGCCAGAATTGCATTCCAAAGAAATATCAATAAAACGTAGTCCAGATCCATATCCAAACGAATTCTGCAGTCTCAATCCACAACATGATGATGACTTATACAAATCTGTACGTTCTCTGGATGAACTTGAGGAAAATTCTATTCATTCTCCTGAAGAAACTTTACTTCTTACAAATGTCAACGGCTTTTGGAAACAAGAAAATATCAAGTGGTCACCAAATAGTCCTAAATTTTCACCTCCAACGAGTCCATCGTTTTCCTACCAATCTGTTTCTTCAGATTGTCTTAGCGACGAACCTGAACACAAACCTCAACCTTTCCTACGTTCTCATCATGACAGCAGCTCTGAAGAAGTAAGCAGAGATGACGAAGTGAAAGAAGATATAAAGTCTGTCAGACCCACTTTTATGCGGCATATGCAGTTTCCCACTAAAATGTAAGATTCTACAGTGAAGTCGTATTCAACTTTTTTTCGACCTGATGTGCACAGTAACAACACACTTTACCTGATACCCTCGGTTTTTTTGTTTACATGTTACATTTACTAGTGAATACTGATAGGTAAAGTTAGAAAACTCAGAATTCACTCTCAGTCTTACCAAGTTATTATAGCTCAAGACCATGTCTTTATTACAAATTGGAACCTTTCCCCGTATGCTGAGGATTGAGCAACCAGGGGCCATCATTATCCCCACTTAATCGCTTGGAAAAAGTTATTAATGGCTGTGTGATGACTTCAAGTTATGTGGAGACTAGATTTTGTCCGGCTTTTTGTTAGTAATGTGGTCGCAAACAAATGACCACAGAATATCCTATCTAATTAAAATCTTATTACAACTAGTTTCACCTCGAGGTTAATTTCAGTGCAAATGTTTTAGACAAATATCATTTCCCAGTAAAATTAAGGTTGAATTTCAAACTGTAAGTAAAACATATTTTTTCATCCTTTAACATATATACATACACAATTACACAAACCTGCCTCACATAAACCACCTTGACGGAAATGACATGACTTTGTCAGACCTGATTTTGATTGATCGCACCAAATATTCTCGCTTTGTTCATTTGTACTATTTAAACGGGTTAATTTAATTTGTTTATTCATTTTCTAAAGAAGTGGCTTGGACTGAGCCACGAAACGTCAGAAATTTAAAAAAATTGATTGTGCTACTCATTTGAATTTTACATATATATCATTTTTGTTAATAGCAGTCTATCCAATACTCAGTTTATTTGAAATAATCAAGTAAAACCTTTTTAATTACACCCGAAACGTATTCTGTTTTTATTTCCTATTTTTGTAAGTCGCAGTCAGTGGAAGCAAAATTTCAACAAATCTCACATTGTCAGAAGCAGTCTAACTTCTACAGCACGTAGGAAAGCCCTACTAGCTAAGGCAGTAAGTCGCAAGATGATGTATTCACAGTTATCTAAATCCACCTCTGTCCAACGAAATCAAGAACCTTGGCAAGTTGGAGAGCTGGTTTGGGCTCGTCCTAATTGGCCCGAAAACTTGCCTTGGTGGCCAGCCATAGTAACTGAAAAACCGAAAAAGTACCAAGCCAAGGGCTTTGGTAAGTTTATAAGTGCAGACATTTTGGAAATTTAATGTTTCTTAGATGTATATCTTAAGTAATTGGTATCAATGTTTTGATTTCTCAATATGAAGTGTTTTATTGGGACTGCATCTGATTTTGAAGCTGGGCTTCCTAACAAGCTTAACATAGACGAGGACATCATATTGCTATCAATCATAATAAACGCTAGTACTCTTAGAATGTTGGTCAATACCTTCTGCACCCAGAGATGAAATAATTCTGACTATTTATTTATGATATTCGTAACTTCCATACATTCTCTGTAAGTTAATTTTTAGTTGAAGTTGATGGAAGAGAACATGGTTTAACATGACGTCATATACTTACTTGTGTTACAAATGAGGCTTTTCATGATGAGCGAAATTCCGATTGTTAAAATCAATGAATAGAATGCTAATCAACAGATAAACGCAATAACGTGACGTGACCAAGTAATGATTGAGAACTAAAGACATGACCATTAACCCAAAGAATATAGATTTTCTATCTCATAAAAAGACAGTTATATGAAGAACATGAACACAAAATAAACATAAGATTTCATATGCGACTAGAGAAGATTAGCTCATGGGTTATTAATTCCCCAATCAATTTGGACCTATCTGTTAAGCCTAATTTTTAAGCAGTACCACCTCTCACAAAATGGTGTGGAATCATTCTGTGAGAACACTGACAAAAAGTTTATATTTTCGCTTCACTTCATAAATCCCTCAATTCTATTACCAGTCGTATTTTTGTTTCTTTTTCCGATCGCTACTGCCTTGACATAAAATGTAAGACGCTTCAGTCCACAGTTCAGAAAATTATGACTTCATTGCTGATGGTAAATTTGAATTAACGGTGACTTCGTTGTATTATTGC